ACACAAAAAAAAAAATAATAATAATAATAAAATTAAATTTATATTTTTATATTTTATATATAGTATATATATATTTATTTATTAAAGTGAGGAGAAAATTGGAACTCATGGGAGACTAACACCGGAATCAACAGTGAACACATTGCCTGTAACGTAGCTCGAAGAATCGTGAAGTAAGTAACGAATCAGGGACGTTAATCCCGGGTCGGATTTTACGACAGTCTGTAATGGCGTAATCTTCATCCCGACATTATGCAACCACAGTCTGTAATACAAAGACCACATACTGTCCTTAATTGTTCTAGTAATGAGCAGTAATGAGAATCTTCTGAGGTGCCATTCTTCAATAGCTTAGCTGCAGAAACATTATTCAGAAAACCTGTGCATTGTTGCCATCGAATATGAGACTCCTGGATCTTCAATAAACACCATTTAGTTGCTAACAAGGCTGCCTCAAGTTCAGATTGTGCACCATCAATGCTTCTTACAGTCATCACTTTCCTGCACCACACAGTCCACACTAATGCACCCTTCATCAGATAATTGAGCACTGATGGTCATCCATGGCCTACCTACTCTCCCTAACGGATTATCTGAATCAAGTTTAGCATTCATTTGGTTCTTTCTTGCCTCCCACTCCAGCCATTCTGATCTTGCACCCTCCACTATCTCCATCTCATGTATCCAGTCCCCCTTAAAAACCCACTTGTTCCTTGCTCTCTTAGGTTTCACATAAAAAACACAGAAAAATGAAGTCTGTCCTGCAACTGAGTAGTCATTTTTCTTGTACAAGTTGTCCTCCACCACCCTTGGAAATCCATTAAACTGTGAACTTTGAAATTCCAGTCCAGACCACTAAGCTTCCACATTCAAATGTGATACTTTGGACATGTGTCAATACATTAATTGATGGATGACTCCATAGAATTTTTGTCAAATTATCTCATTGTACCTTTTTGTTCCTCGGTTCATGATCATGATGTTTACAAATTATATTATATTATATTTATTTAAAAGACCAGGTTATTAAACTTTTAGTAAAACTGTAAGCAAAAATTTTATAGAGCCATCGGATGGTTTTCTTATAGAGTCATCCACCACTTAATGTATTAATACATGTCCAAATTGTATTTGTTGTAATACACGTGTTAATACACTATTGGTGAATAAGTGTGGATGACTCCATAAGTCGAGCCATCCGATAGCTTCATAGCAAAACTTATTTGTTAAGTACTTTTTTTTTGTTAGCTTTATATTTTAATTGTGTTATATAGTAGATGATTATTCACAAAGAGATAATTCATTTTTATATTAAGATGTTTTAAAAGGCTAATATTTATTCCATCTAACATATCTTATTTCTAAATAAAATTTATTCACGACATAGAAGCAAGAAGTTTCATATGGCTGCATATTTGTTGATTGTTTATTTTTACTTTTGTTAAAATTTCTCTTTGTTAAAGTTATGTTTACTAATGAAGTGTGCATATTAAATAAATGATTCTTTCAAGACAATGGTGTATATGAAAGAGCAAATGCACATTCATGGTCTTATCAACTCCAATATATTAATAAGGATTGGAGCTTACAAGTGATGACGTCGATGATGATAAACATTACGAAGACATTTACCATTTGACAAACTATGTTTTGAATGGTCATGGTTTTGTTTTAGGTGTTGATGGTAAAGAGCATTTTAGTTAACTTATTTTATGTATGTTGACATAATTGTCGATTTAATAATTATTTGAATGTTTATTTATCAAAATTTATTATATTACCAAAAAAATAGATTGATGTTGAATAGTCAGATTGTTACAAACGTGTGTGTTGTTGATAGAGAAAGTGTTACATTAGAAAATTTAAAATTTATCTATTGTCTTATATCTTTTATGTATCACTTTTTTAATACTACCTAAACTTATTTATGTTGTAGTAAACGCTGAAAAAATTGTTACTGAATACGAAATGTCATTCTTATTATATTATATATAACGATGTTATAGATTTTTTTGCATTATCTTCATGTTGGGCAA